CTAGCCTGAGACAGCAGCTCCATGCTCTAAGTCCTCATCTGATGCCCTGCCGGCACTGCTTCCGGCCATTCTTAAGCATGGTTCAGGGTCCACTTAATGTGGACATGCTAGTTCGAATTAGCAAAACGCTAATTCGAACTAGTTTTTTAGTCTGGATGCGTTAGTTCGAATTAGCTTAGTTCGAATTAACTAATTTGAACTAAGTTATTTCGAATTAGCGCTGTAGTGTAGACATACCCTAACACAGTAAATTCAGGGGTTGCCAAATTGCTGTTAAATGGCTTCATTGCCCCTTGAAATGCTCTTTCACAGGTTCTGCTACTAGATATGGCAGGTTTTTTCACTTTTAAGTTAACTAGATCCTCTTGGGAGGAAGAAGAGCCATAGAACAAGGATAGAAATATAAAGGTGGATGAACATTAAGACCCAGCGGTGCCCCACATCTACCGGTGCCCAACACAGCTGCACATTCTGCATGTGGGTAAGGACAACTCTACCTTTAAGACACTGAGTTCACATAGGTTCTGCAGCACTTCACTAGCTCCCACCTTCCTGAACTGATTGTGAACCCTGCCTGGGGATTAACGCCCCAGACTTTAGGCTGCTGTTTGCTTCAGCCGGGTGCATGGTCCATTTCAAGAGATCACCAAAATCTAATGTGCACCTTGCCAAATGGCAAATATTAATTCTTCAATGGGGAAAAATAATTCTGAACATTATTTTTTCCATAGAAAGAACAGCCCCTTTTTATTGATCTTCACCCCCATTAAAGTAGTATGTGCTGCTGTAATTAGTTATAGCCACTAGGGACCCAATTTTTGTTATTTAATAGGTTGTGTTTTGGATACCATACACAGTGTCTAGGTATTTTTCAATAATACAAGAAAAATTCCCTGCTCCAAAGAGATTACATTCTAAATATTACAAAACAGAGCGGGAAGTTATTCAATATTTTTATGTACCTAATTTATGCAGTTCGGTAGGACAGCCGACAAATATATTGAAATATGTGAATATTTTTTAATTATGTACCGATTTCTCTAATCAATAATTACTTTAGCTTTGTGATGTGTTGCTTGTGAAAGCATGTCATGGATCCTAAGGGCTAGCCAGCAGCCTGGGGACTAAGGAGTTAATTGTACCTAACTCAGGTAGAGTTGGCCAATAGGAATGTTGGTAGGAATTTCAAACTAGGACAAAGGAATTTTGTTTTTTCCCTCCTTTGTTTGGAGAGAGTTCCCTCCAGCTTCTGAGGGAGACAGACATGTCTCTCTCCAGGAAACAATTCTTCACTTTCTGTAAGTAGGGTAAAATTTAGATAACACCGTTAGGTTTTATTGTTTTATGGTTTGGGTATGGGATCTGCTGTCTGTGCACTTTTAAAAAAATGTTTTGGCTTTCCTTTGTAACCAAGTTCTAGGCCCATGGAGTTTCTTTATGAGTATATTATTTTGTTACTTTTCTATCTAATCATTATGCTTGCAACAGGAATAGTGTGGTGATAATAAAAGTTTTCTCTTTTCTTTTTATTAACCTTGTATTGGTTAATGGTTGTGTCCTGGTTTATACTTTAGGGGTGAGATTTCCCAAGTAGTCTCTCCCCTGATTTTATTCCCAAATCTAGGTTTTTAAGATTTTGGGGGGAAGTCTTATACCAAAGCCTAGTAGATAAGGCTTTGGGGTACTTTTGCTGGCCCCCATTTCTGCATTTATCATGCCAGAGTGGGGAAGGAGACATGACATGAAATATGTGAATATTTTTTAATTATTTACCAATTTCTCTAATCAAAAATTACTTTAGCTTTGTGATGTGTTGATTGTGAAAGCATTTTTCTCATGGTTTCAAATTATGTGAAGGATAGCCTCACACTCTGAGATTTTTGTTCTCCCAATTTGCCATAGCTTTGAATTCCAGAATTACAAAAGAAGAGGGAGAATACTGAAGGATTAGGCAACATAGCAGCTCTGTGCTCTACTCCTTGACTTACTCAGTGACAAGAAATAGGGGAGAGATTCTGGGGAATGATTTAACATGTGTGTTTTAGATCCAAACATCCTACTGCTGGTTGTCAGACTCAAAACACTGTGCCAACAGAAGGAATTTGGAATCAGAAATTTCACTCAGAGCAATTTTCTAGTTTTGAAGGAAAGCATTTTCTGAAATTGTATGTGCAATAAGAAGCAGGATAAGAGTTGATTTTTTTTCATGTCTTCCCCTGCTGCTGAGGAACAAGACATGTATTGATTTTTGAGCTGATAGTCTTTGTAATCTCTGAGAGCCTTGACATGGAGCTATATGGTATTTGCAATCTTTTCCAACCAACAATCAAGGCTTCGATTCTTTGTTTTTCCTCCCATGCATACATCTCAAAAAGTGTAGAGAAATACCGAAAGACTTCATTACTTATTCATGTTCAGCTGAACCATGTTGAAATCTTTGCACTCCTTTTCCTGTTTGACATATGCCATCCTTCTCTTTTCTTACCCCATCCAGATTTCACCCTGATCTCATTCATCTTGTACTCTGTTGTCTGGAGACAACAACATTGACACTTCTTTGGCTTTTATGTAAGTGCAAAAGCAGTGTGAGTCTGTAGCAGAAAGACTGTAACTTAGTTTTGTTTAGCCAAATTCTAGTGAAAGGCAGAAAAAGTTTGTGGGTAGAGGCTGGAAAGTTGAACATGCGACCTTAGCAAGAGAAAGATATGAGTTAAAAAAATGTTCTTTAAGGCCCTGATGCTTTTGTAGAATCATAGAACATTAGAACTAGAAGGTATTTTGAGAGGTCATCAAATCCAGTCCCCTGCCCTTACGGCAGGACCAAGCACCATCTCTAGAACATCCCTAACAGATGTCTGTCTAATGTGCTCTTAAATATCACCAGTGATGGAGATTCCACAACCTCCGCAGGCAACCTATTCCAGTGCTTAATCACCCTGATAGGTAAGAAGTTTTTCCTAATGGCCAACCTAAACCTCCCTTGCTGCAATTTTAAGTCCATTGCTTCTTGTCCTATCATAAGAGATTGAGGATAATATATTTTCTCCCTCCTCCTTGTAACACCCTTTTGTAGCTACTTTTAGATACCATGACTCTATGATTTTAGACTACCCCTTGCAGATGTTTATCCTGCATACATAATGTGAGCAAAGACATTGTTGGGATTCCTTTTAATTGTTGATTTCAGGTCTTGCCTGCAGCGATGGCAGAACCAGTTCTGAAAAAACTGGACCAAACAGTAGTCCAGATGACTGAAGCAATCCTGAACCTAAAAGGGTTTTCAAGTACCTAAAAGGGAGTTAACAAGGAGGAGAGAGAAAAATTGTTCTCCTTGTCTTCTGATGATAGGATGAGAAGCAATGGGCTTAAATTGCAGCAAAGGAGGTTTAGGTTAGACATTCGGAAAAGCTTCCTAACTGTCAGTGTGCCTAAACATGGGAATAAATTGCTTAAGAAGGTTGTGGAATCTTCATATTTGGAGATATTTAAGATCAGGTTAGATAAACATCAATCAGGGATGATCAAGAGTGTGCTTGGTCCTGCTGTGAGGGCAGGGGAATGGACTTGATAGCCTCTTTCGAAAGACAGTGTCTAGACTACAGCCAGTACTTTCGAAAAAGCGAGCCGCTTTTTTGAAAAAGAGCACCCAGGCGGTCTGGATGCTCTCTTTTGAAAAGGCACAGTTTGCATTACATAGTGGCTTTTTTTGAAAGAGCACTTTTGAAAAAAGGAGTTATTCCTAGTAAAATGAGGTTTTCTGCTGTTGAAAAAAACTGCCGTGTTCTTTTGATTTACTTTTGAAAGAATGCAGCAGCAGTCTAAATGCAGGGAAAGTTTTTTCGATAAAAGGCCACTTTTTTTTTTAAAAACCCTGTAGTCTAGACACACCCGAAGTCCTTTCCAGTTCTAGTATCCTGTGAACCTCTCAGGACATTTTGATTGGTTCAGAGAAATATGAAAGGGCCCATAGGAGGCATGATAATCTTTCTTCATGAGAAGAATGAGTTAGATTTGGAAACAGAACTGAACTCTGTGTCCTGCTTGTTTCCATTGGCATACGTAAGAAAAACGAAGTGGTGAGTAACTCATTTTCCTCAAGAATCAGTTAAGTTATTGAGATGCCAATTTGAAGCTATTTTTGTGGGGTTTTTTTTTTTGCATATTCAGTTAATTTATGACAAAAACATTGCTGCTATTTGCAGTGTCTATATGAATGGGAGGGAAACAGAATTATTATACTAGCAACCTTTTATAGCAGAGATGTCTGTCTGTAGGAGGAAGAATAATATTTTTCTAGAGAGGTTGCTGGTAGGCACAAGGTGCTAAATGGGAAAGGATTGTAATGTAGAAAGCTTTTAATTTGATATAATGAATGAAATCTATTAAGCAAAGTGCAACATCAGGCTAACATAATCTGTTGATGCCAGATGAAGCACTTAATCTAAAATATATGAATCGTTCCAGGTCTGTTTATTATAGTGTTGTAGTAGTACCAATACAATTATTCTTAGGAGTCTCTGTCACTGTAAGCCTTGGATTTGAGATTTGTGTAATGAAACATACCGATGGACTGTGCCTTTCCTCTTGTTTTTTTGTTCTGCATGCCTCAGTTTATGAAAAATATTTTGGAAATGGAAAGAGCAACCGTCATTCTTTTCTCTTTATGCAGCCACATTCAAGCTGCCACTGAAAATATGTTGGTAGGTGGATCTACTGTTCTGATGCTTCCAAAATTATCACTCCAGATGCTGATAAATGTCGACATTTTCATAGAGCTGTATTTGTGCAGCCATTCTGCTCCATATGAAAACTTGTCTGATACCAGTGGGATGGAATTAAAATAAGAGTCTCTGAAATTCATGTAGAATGGAGGGGGTTGGAGAGCCAGCATGCCACAATTCATTTTTAAAGTTTGTTTGAAGAAACACCTACAAAAAGTGAAGCACCTCTTGTTTGTAAGAAACAGTTTACAAGAAAGTTGGCATTAGGCCCTCTTATGATCAATTTCAAGAAGGTACAATGCTGTGTATAGTTCATGGGCCCTACTCAGACTTTGAAAATCTGCTGTTTTTCTTCACTGAAATATGTTAATCTACACCAATGTATCTCTCTTGAGCTGGCATCATGAATGTATCAAAATGGAAGTATGCATTTCTGGCTGTGGTGGCGCACAACACTATTTGTATATCACACTTATTCCCTGCTGCAGTTGTAAAGGATAAAGAGCGGCCCTCTTAAGAAGTTTCCCTGTTGTGTTGCTAGCAGGAGATTTCCTGACTTTATGATAATTGGATCTGGCCAGATGGTGATGACTCCTGGTATTGCACACAGAAGAGATGCCTTTTAATTTCTCTTGCTAGGTTTCCTCATGTTAACATGGAGAAATTCTGTGTTAGGTGCACCCAAGCTGAAAGACATCTTGCTGTGAGGCATACAGAAATGCCGGTTCCTTCATATCCTCATGACGGTTGCATCGCGTAATTTTAAAGCAATGTGAAGAAGGGCTGTGATTTTTATTCAATTGTTTTTAAAAAGTGAAAGTACTTGCCCATATCAGATGTGGAGAATGACGTCTACTTAGCTAGAGAACATAGACTTAATAGGCATAGGCAGCCGCTGTTGAAGTATTGCGACATCTCTCCACCCATGACTGGCCGCAATATCAGAAATCAGTTCTGAAAGAGGGACACCTTTAGTGTCAATTTAGTTTTCATTCCCTCTTACTCTTGGCACTCTCTAGGGAGACTGTTAACAAGTGTGGCCAGGCGGCCAAAAGGGTGAGTAGCCCTGGGACCTGGTGATTTAAAAGGGTCTGGGGTTCCAGGCTATTTCTACGGCAGCAGCAGTGGTAGCCAGAACCCCAGGGCCTTTAAATCACCATGGGAACCCTGCACGGCACAGTCCAGGCAACACTGAGGGCTGACTTGGGGAGGCACAGAGTGGTTGGGCAGTGCCGAGGGCTGGCTGCCTCTAGCCCCACCCTTTCCACATGAGGTCCTGCCTCTTCTGGAAGCCTCTCCTCCGCACATTTCCCGGGACCCGGTGAAGCCTTTTGCCAGCCCTGAGTGTGGTAACTGAAGCCCTCAGATGGAAACATCTTTCAGATTGCAATGACCAGGGCTGGATTGAAACAATGACCCAAGAGGCAAAGAGCTCTGTATCCAAATCCCCATCATCGGATCAGCAGTGCTGAGGGCTAGCTGCCTCTAGCCCCACCCTTTCCACATGAGGTCCTGCCTCTTCTGGAAGCCTCTCCTCCGCACATTTCCCGGGACCCGGTGAAGCCTTTTGCCAGCCCTGAGTGTGGTAACTGAAGCCCTCAGATGGAAACATCTTTCAGATTGCAATGACCAGGGCTGGATTGAAACAATGACCCAAGAGGCAAAGAGCTCTGTATCCAAATCCCCATCATCGGATCCTCTAGAGTCACTCTCAAATTCTGCTGGAATAGATGCTACACTTCATTTCAATACCAATATTGAAGCAGATTTTCTGAACTATTAGCTTTTACAGAAGTCTATAATAAAGCTAATTTGACTGAATGTTGATTGCATTTAATAACAGAATCCTTATCATAATGGTTTTCTTTACATTTGCATTTTAGCTATATAATGAGGCTTGTCATGCTACTAATAAAATTGGTGTCTCAGCAAAACTTAACTTGCTAGCACGTTTTAGCATTGCAGGCAACACACTGTTTTTTTTAAAAAAGGGGTCTGACTATTCTAATCCTGGTCTGAATCATTCAGTTTGATGTGCATATTAATCCCTTGGGAACAGCATACCTGGCATTACTGTGGGTATTCAGTGGATAACGGACTATACACTACAGGGGGATGCGTCAAAGAGACTTAGGGACTGGGGTGCACCTCTTGTTAACTTTCAAGGCAAAGTAAGGTCTGATGTAGCCCAGAGGAGGTTGTCTGGGTGGCTAACTGGAGATGTCAAGGAGATGATGCCAAGTTAAGCACGAGTAATTCTCCCTCTTGCTTGAGGCTGGAGAATAGCAAGGTATTTCACAGTCCTGGGCACCCCAGAAATGTCTCAGTGTTGTTACATATTAAAACTCTTAAATGAATTACAGGACAAAGAACAACCACTGTGACAGCCACTTTATTAAAGCTATGTGATGTGTCCTATGTACTGCCATGCCTGCCACTTATGTCTCATGATATCCTGGAATTGTTTCCCTGACCTGAATGCATTTCAATAAGGGCAGAGGCTCATGAGGCAAAAGAGCTTCTGCTACTTCAAATAGCAACCTGATTTTGACCTCAGTTTTTATCCTCTTCCTTTCTTGGGAGAGGATTTATTGTCATTTGTTTGCATGCACAGATAATATGATATGGGGCTGTGTGAAATATACCTTATTCATGAGGGGGCTGTTCCTCTGATGGCCTTCAGTGGGAATTGGATTAGGCCCTTTGTTGCAGGACTCTACTTCACGTCAGCTTTGCTGTCTCTTCTGGCAGGGAGATGTCAGGGACGTGTGGTCTCCAGACACACTGTGAATTGTCGCTAGTGCTGCACCATGGGATAGTCCTTTTCTCCTTTCTTATATTCCAGTCTATACTATTGACTTGACAGCATGTCAGACACCTTGCCACTTCTCTGCACTTCTTCCGTGTCCTTGGCTTGGACATTTTGTTTTAAAGCTCAAATAGAATTCTCTGCAGATTCTTTGGCTCCCTTTCTTAAAGTCCCCGTTCTAACATTCTGTAAACCTAATGCCTAATAGGTTGATTATCCCAACTTTGAGCATTCTCCAGTAACTACAATCAAAGGCTTTCACACCTATTGCTTACCCCAGATGGAATTTCCAAACACAAAGTATTAGGCTAATAGGAGGTAACTGATCCCTCAGGCTTATTTTTGAACCAGTATTTATTTTAAAATGTGCTTTTCAGCTTTTAGTCAGATTGAAAGACGAAAACCATCACAAAGGAGGAAAGCAACACAACAAATTTCCAAAACAAAGGCAAACAAGATACATGACCTGAAGGGGCAATGCATTTTTAAAGATAGAAACTTTATTATACATACCAATCCTTCCAACAAATATCTATAGTAGAGTTGGCTTCAGCACATCATTTAATTTAAAATGTTCCACTAGAAAAGGATTAAATAGGTCATAGCACCTTCTTTTCATATAGAACTCTCCCTTATCGGTTTTAACCTTATGATGCTCTGGATGAGGAATGGAGCAATGGCTAATGATTAGTATAGTTAGGCACTTGCTTACCAACAGCAGTGATGGGTGAGACATTATCACCTAGAAACTGTAACCTCACAATGAGTCTCAGTAGTGGGTGTTCAGGCCAGAGAATTAATTGCAACTTAGTCTTGATTTCTCCCCAGATTTATCCTGGCTCTGAGCGAGAAGTCACTTCACTGCTTTTGGCGGAGTGGTTTACTCTCCTCTTATATGTGAAGGCATTCAAATATAAAACCACTAGCCAGCTATAAGTTCTCAAGGAATGCAAATATGAAAAAAATATGAAATTGCAGAATTACTAATTGTAATATGTACCACGACACTTAAATCAGCAACTCTACCAGCTGATTGGAGAATAGCTATTGTACTGCCAATTTTTAAAAAAGTTCCAGCAGTGATCCCTGCAATTATAGGCCAGTAAGCCTAATTTCAATACCAGGCAAATTAGTTGAAACTATAGAAAGGAGCAGAATTACCAGACACATAAATGGACACAGTGTGTTGGGAGAGATTCACCCCAGCTTTTGTAAAGGAAAGTAATGCCTCTCCAATCTATTAGAATTCTTTGAAGTCAACAAAAATGCAAACATGTCTCCCAGTAAAGGCTCGTAAGAAAAGCAAGCAGTTGTGAGAGAAGAGGAAAGGTCTTGTGAAAGAGGACCTAAAGGGTAGGAATAAATGGTCAGTTTTCAGCAAGGAGAGAGGTAAATACCAATTATCTATACTAGGACTAGTGCTGGTGAACATATTCATAAATGATCTGGGAAAAGGGGCAAGCAGTAAGGTGGCAAAATTTGAAGCTGGTTCAAAATCATAAATGATCTGGGAAAAGGGGCAAACAGTAAGGTAGCAAAATTTGAAGCTGATTCAAAACTACTCAAGATTGTTAAGTCCAAAGCTGACTGCAAAGAGTGAAAAAGAGCTCTCACAAAACTGGGTGACTGGACAACAAAATGGCAAATAAAATACAGATGCAAATAAATACAAAATAGTGCATATTAGAAAATCCCCGCTATCCACACAAAATGATGATCAAGAAAGAGATCTTGGAGTCATCATGGAAAGTTCTCTGAAAAACCTCTGTTCATTGTGCAACGGTAATCAAAAAAGCTAACAGGCTGTTAGCTTATCTGCTTCATTTTAACTACCCAATCTTCAGATACATACTGATTCCCTCTAGCTTCCTGTCTACCACCACCCTTCTTTTTTCCCCTTCCCTATTTGTTTTGGGTCTGCAAATCCTAAACTCATAACTCCAGTCATCTGAAGAAGTGGGCTGTGCCCATGAAAGTTCATGATACCATCTACATGTTTTGTTAGTCTATAAAGTTCTACCAGACCACTTGTTGTAGTAATCATTAAGACAGGCATATATAATTAGACAGAAAATATCACAATACTGCTGTGTAAATCCATGGTATACCCACACCTTGAATACTGTGTGCAATTCTGGTAGCCCTATTACAAAAACCTATATTAGAATTGGAAAGGGCACGGAGAAGGGCAACAAAATAATTAAGTGTATGGAATTACTTTCATATGAGGAGAGATTAAAAGGACTGGGACTTTTCAACTTGAAAAAGAGTTGATTAAAGGGGAATACGATAGAGGTCCATAAAAGGACAAAGTAAATAAGCAAGTGTTATTTACTCCTTCAGCAGGTGTCACCCAATGACAGTATTAGGCAGTAGGTTAAAACAAACAAAAGGAAGTACTTTGTCAACCTGTGGAACACATTGTCAGGAGATGTTGTGAGAGCCAAAAAGGTAACTGGGTTAAAAAAAGAACTTAATGAGGGGTGGGTTCTCAAATGGCTATTTGTCAAGATGGTCAGGGCTGCAATCATATTCCCAGGTTGCCCCTCAATCTCTGCCAAAGGATGACTACCCTCATGATTTGGTAATTAACCTGTTATCTTCATTCCCTCTGGGTCACCTGGTACTGGTCACTGTCAGAAGACAGGGACACGGGGCTAGATGGATTATTGGTCTGATCCAGTATGGCCAGTCTTATGTTCTTACAGGACTAGCTGCTCTGGCTGGTGAGGAGTGGATGTAGAAAAAGAGGGTTTTTCTAACTCTCTATCCCCTTCTTCCTTCTCCCTGCCACTTGCTTCTTGGGGATAGTAGTCACCAAGCATCTCCTGCTTTTCCCTTGGGTGGCCAGAATCCCACTGTGAACTGCATGACCTGTTTAACACTTCTTCATACTCCTCACCAATCAGTGCAGCCAGTGTGTTTTTGGCACACAAAACAAAGTAATCAAATCCTCTCTTTCCCCCTTTCCTTAACTCAATGAGCCAATGCAATCCTTAGCACTAGTCTCCTGAGGTCAATAAAGTTTGTTTTTATTCTTAGCTGTAGGAGACAGGCTTCAGCCTCTGTTATAGGCCGGAACCTCAGTACACTCAGAACTTATCCATCACAGATGTTTCTGTTCAAAACTGTTCTTCTTCCCTCACATTTTTAATTGCCAGCTATTGCTGTCCCTCAGAGCTGAGCTCACTGAATGCACAATTCCCTTCATCCAAAATGATTCCAAATCAGTAAAGTAAATAATTCTACCAGTATTGTCT